CGGCCTCTGAGGCGGGGCAGAGCCGCAGCCCCCGCTGTCGCCGCTGCGCCGCTCCCGGGCTGACGATGGCAGCCGGCTCCCTCGCGTCGCGGTTTGAGTTGTTTTTGTTGTCATTGCTGCCCTTTGGGTCGTCCTCGCGGGCTGAGCCGGTGGGTGGTGGCGTGGCCACCTCCATTAGGGATGACACTCACGTTGGGGAGCAGTCTGGGGAGTACTAACCAGGAAATCCACGATGGGTTCCTTAACAGCTAGCGGCTTCTGCGCGTGTTGCAGTGCACTGCGGTGCCCGGGTGGATGGCCGTGTGGGAGTGGGCACTCCGTACGGGGGTCGCGCCGGGCGGTTGGGTACGGAGGGTGAGTGTCTTCCGCTCTTGTAGCCTGTTGCCCACTTCGGAGTTTTCCGCTGGACAGAAGGCGGACGGGAGGTTGGTTCTGGTACCCGAAGTGGTAGGTGGAGAAGTGTCTGTCAAAAGACCAAAGCCAAGGAGAGAAGAGGGGTGGTGACTCAGTGCTTGGGCTCAAAGGTACCATGGCTGGGACTTGGTAAAGTAAAACTTTCCGTTTAGCAGGCTTGGGGTATGGCTTTGAGAAGATAACTGTAGATTTTAGGGGGGAAATATTAGCTGCACACTCGTGAAGCTAACCACCATTGGGTTCATTCTTGCTCTAAAAAATGGTCTTTTGAATTGATGTTTACGTTCAAGTTGTCCAGTTATCTGTTATCACTTTGTATCACTTGGTATTTAATATATGTTTGTGTTTCCTTTTGAATATACAATAATTGTTGAAGTATGAAGAGTTGTTAATTTCTTTAACAAAAAAAATATTTATTTTACCATTGCCAAAGATAGAAACTTGTGGGGGGGGGGGGGGAGAAAAGCAGCTCTCTGCATATTCCAGGCACAGTTCTATGTTATTTAAGCCTTATTCTCTCACTTAATTCTTGCGCAACCATAAGGAGTTGATAATAATATTATCCACTTTTTACATATGAGGAAAGCCAGACATAGAGAGGTGAAATAATTTAACCATGGTCATACAGTTATGAAATGTTAGAACCCAGATGGTCCTTGGTGTAATCTTAACCAACTCACATTTTTTTTTCATAAAAATAGGACCCAATTGTACCTAAAGTCTTCTATATTTGACATATTGCCCACATTTCTCTACCAAGATGAACCCCTTAACTGACTATGTGCTACAAGTTGGAGGCAATTAACTCTTTTTCTAATTTTTAATACTATAATTATGGCAAAGATTCTTTGAGTAGTTTCCTTTGCCACAATTAACCACATTTCCTACAACAGTTATAGATTAATGTAGTATTTACCAGCAAAGTTAAGATTTTCAGCAGTTAAGATTTACCACCAAAGTAAATTATTCTAAAGCAGATAGCTGAATGTATGTATTTGTTTGCATTTAATTTTAAATTTCCTAAGATATTAGTCTGTCCTTTGCTCACAGCATGGTCATCGTTTTCTTTAGAATCTCATCTTGTAAAAATTTTTGAGCAAGTTTAGTCATCTTTAATCCAATCACTCTCACAAGAGCTTTGGCAGTTTTAAAGGAAAAATTATGTAATTCTCTTTCAAGTATCAGTAATTAAAAGCAGGCTATATTTTGAGGGTATTTGTGTGTGTCATACGTTTTAGCCAATTGTATATACGCTATACAAAGTTGTGGAGCAATGAAGACCGAAATCAAATTTCTCATTAGATATAAGTAGAAATACTTTTTAAATCTTCACTTCTTTTAAATGAACCATAATGTTGAGAAAGGTTTCAAGTGGGGTAATCTCTAACTAGACATATTTGGAGAATTATTCTTTATTTGAGCTTATCATGGCGCTCTTGTGATATTTATTCTGTTGGACAGATATCGCTCTTAAATCTTTATCTGTTATTTTTTTCTAGTAAATTTAATTGCTTCTTCACATAACAAGTTTCAAAATTATTTTGACATTCATAGATTTCCTTAATTCTTGTTTTTCAGTTTAATTAAATACAATACACATATTCTAAATCCACACCTACCCAACATTATAAGTGAAGAGAGACTAGAATCCAACTGGAACTACTTGGAACCATGATCTTTAGATGTGAAAAAAAAAATTTCCTGCTCTTCATTGGTTAACCTCCGCCAGTACACCCCCCAAATTATGGCCACAGTGTTATTTTGGGATGTTGGAGTGCAGTGTTGTGGTCGGAAGAGTTGCATGCATTAGACACAAGTGTTTTTAATACTGAAATTGAGTTTGAATTTTCCAAGACTATTTATATAGAATGTTGATTGTCTTTAAGGCATAAATCCTATGACACATACATAAGTCCTTTCTTAACTGAATCAGAGCTGTTCAGTTTTCTAGTTTCTGTTACTTATTTTAGAGAAAACATTCCTTTGCTACTTTTACCTCTCCTGATGCATTTGACATGACTTTTTCCTTTTAAGTTACTCACCTCTAGTTTTGGGAGAATTGTACTGTCTCAGCTTCTTGAGAGCATCTCTGTTCAGTGGAGAACTGGAAATCAGTAGTGAGCAAAAAGTTGAGTGAGCCCTGCCAACACAAAGGGTCAGATGTTAATAAAATAATGATACAGATAAATTCTTATTTACATATTGAGGTAAAGTCTCTGAAAGAAGGAGTTCTATAAGAATGTGTAATAAGGATTCTGGACCAGACAGGGAGGTTGAAACAGGATGCCCATAAATCACATATTTACGGAGGAATGACTTGTGAGGAAATGTTCATTAAGTCCGATGGTCTTCTTAAATGCTTTCATAAAGATTTTCTGAATTGTTTTCTGAATCAAGGACCTATGTCTCACTCTGGTTATCTCTACACTTCTCTGTTTACCAGAAGACATACTATTTCCCCCTCATTATCAACCTATGGAAATGGGGAGGTTTACAAAACCCCTATTAATGGTTTTTAAAGCACACAGAGCCATAACCTTATCTGGTTATTATCCTACTTGCCAAGAGTTATTTAAGTTTAATGAAATGTAGTCATTTTCTTTCTTTTCCTTAACTACTTTGAAATTAGAAAAGGGGTGTGTGTGTGTGTGTGTGTGTGTGTGTGTGTTAAGTGATGGAATGTCTCAGAACAGAAAGGTTTGTGATTCATCACCCAGTACCTAAGAAGTGTCCAAAGGAGAAGAGGCCACAAGGTAAAGGAGGTGGTATTAAGTGTTTAATATGCTGAGGAAACAGGTATTAACAATTTAAAGCAAACATGATAATATCTAAATTAATTGAATACTTACTATGTGCTGGACATCATTCTACGGGCTCTATAAAAATTAACTTATGTATTCCTCACAATAGCCTTATGAAGTCTGCATGTATTTGTATTATCCCCACTTTATAGAAGGGGAAACTGAAGTACAAGGAGGACAATAATCATGACCACTGTCGCACAGGTAGAGATCAGCCCTAAACTCAAGATTTCTGATTCCGTAGTGCATACTGTGATGAACTATTGATGTGTAACACCTGGTTCATAAATTTTCTGGTGCATTAAATTCCCATCATTGTTAAAAATAATAATACCTCCGGATTTGATCTTTTGGTTAGTTTTCCCTTCATAAAAATCAGTGGGAAAAAATAAGACTTTCTTTGTATCAATGCTTTTTGCCTGTATTTTACAGTGCCCTCCTCTCAATATATATATATATATACACATATATATATATCAAGAAGTAAGAGACATATGAATACCTAGACAAACACTGTGACATTTATGTCTCATTATATATTACATAGTTTTAAAATTCAAAAAATAGTAACAAGTACCACTTGAAACTGTTGAAAGTTTTAGCATCAAGAATATGTACTGTAGCATGTCAAAAATTAGGGAAATATCTTTAACAGCTGACAGTACTATGAGCATTAATAAACTTAAGAATTTTAAGTCACCTGTTTTATCCCCCAAGTCTTTGTCCAGAGTATGTGCTACAAGGAGGCTATAAAGTATAACATAAAAACATCTGTTAAATTATCTTGGTAAAATTATAAAAACCCTGTTAATTTTTACATTGAGATCTTTCGACGGGAATCATAATAATTGTATAAGTTAAAAAAAACTTAGTCTTTTTAAATATTATCCAAATAATGTTAACTTAAGACAGATGGCACATGTCATTAGCAAAGTGAAGTACTGATTGGTTAAATGTGCTAAAACATAAAGATGTTTGCACTATGTCTGAAAATAAATGTTAGTCGATGTTATTTCTCCTTGCAAATAATAGATAATATGCAGTTTATATGATTAATGTTAACATTAACCATGAATCACAATTCATACATAGTACACGTATCAAAAGCTTCTCTGAAGCTTTTGAACATGCTTAAAGTAGAGCATATATTTTCTATGACTCGTGTATCCCTATTAAGAATGTGATACATCATTTGTCTGTATGCTCAGCTTCATACAAAGCTTTACATCATAGAGTAACCAGCAAACTACTGCTCTAATTTATACCATAAGGAAAGAGATG